GCATGTGTGTATGTTGTGTGTGTGTATATATATGCATGTGTGTTTTGAGAGAGTTTCTTCGCGTGACGGAATAATGGCGATAGAACCTACTTGCTTGTACCGTCAGAGTTTTTCTTTTCTTTTTTTTTTTTTTTTTTTTCTTTTCTTTTAAATTTCATTTCTTCACCGTCTTAGAATCGATTCTCGTTCTGAGGAATATGTAATTTTCATTGCTCCCTCTCTCTCTCTCTCTCTCTCTCTCGCTCTAGAAATCTGCCTGACAGCTATACCATTATATACGTTTTTATTTTCTTCCCTTTTTTACTATTCGATAGTACTTTTTATTTCTATTTATTTTTAAATTCACCGTTTAATTTTAAATTCGATATTCTTCTCAAAGTGTTCTTTTTTTTTGTTTCTTTCTTTCTTTCTTTTTTCAAATAAAAACAGACAAATATTATAGACACTATATTCGATGAAAAGTAGTTGTATTATTGTCGTCTCGATTTGATAGCAACTACTCGAGGACTACTCGAAACGAGAGAATCGTATGATAAATGTATGATTTTTTAGAAATGTGCTTGTCGTTGAGAAATTTTTCGGAGTAAGGTACTTCTAGTGCACTATTCGTTCATGTTGATGCGAACTTGAGTGGTTGTAACTTAAACTCGTGACCCTTTTTTTTCCTTTTTTATTTTACCTATCGAAGAAACACCATAAAGCGAATTTATTACATCGGCGCATATGCTCAACCAATCGCGTATTATTTTCCTATATATTTTCTTTGTTAGATCAACATTTGTCAAATTTATATTCTTTCGTTGACAAATTTATCGCGCGTTGATGATAATAATCAATTATAAATAATATTATATCAGAATATTTTGTGAACATAATATACACACATTTGTTCTTGTTAAATAATATCACGTAGAAATCTGTGAGAAGATAGTTTATTATCTTGTAAATGGGGAAACGTTTAAAAGTACCTCAGGTACTCACAATTCTCTTTCTATTTCAAATTTCGTTGTTAAATATTCGAACAAGTGTGAAGAATTGTCAGATATTTCATATTTTTTTTTTGTCTCTCCTTTTTCCGTTTCCTTATTCATTCTTTCTTCTTGTTACTTTCATTCATTCATATAAGAAAGAGAGAGAGAGAGAGGGAGGTCTTCTTCAGACGACAAGTTCTATCGAAATATGAACTTAAACTACTTCTTTCTCTTTCTCTTACTCGAGAACGTGTTCGCAATATAATTTTACGAGTCCCGTCGGGCATGGCGAGTGCATAAAAGTCGACAGATGTCTTATCTCACGCTCGCGACTCGAGAAAAAAGATAGATAGGAAGGGTTGGAAAGAAAGAAAGGAAGAAAGAAAGAAAGGAAGAAAGAATGAATGAAAGGAAAAAAGGAACGAACGAAAAAGCGAAAAGAGGAAGCTTGTAAAATGACTTCACCTCGCATCCTTGTACATCGTTTTTACTTTTCACACTTCTCCTAAGAAACCGTGTTCCACCTGCCCTTTTGCAGTTTCAGTTTCATCCTTAACTCGTCCCTTTTTACCCCCATTCAGGGGATACAACGAAACCTTATGCTTCGTACGTGTTTACAATATACATTCCTAATGTTCTAGTATTTTGCCAATTGTATAAAAAGATCCTCATTTTTGTATACTTCTTACGAATCCCAATACTAACCTTATTATTATTATTATTATTATTATTAGATAGAATATGAATTTAACATAAACATAATTTTCTTCTCATTATAAATTTAAACCCCTTTTTATTAAAATATTTTTATACAATATAAATATATAATTTATTATAATTAGTTAGAAATAAATTAAAAATAATAATTAATTAAATCGAAATACGTTGTAACGAATTTATTACGTTTTAATTATATTAATATTTATTATTACTAATATTTGAAAATATAATTAACTTAAATGGGAACAAAAAAAGAACTCAATTAGCATTAGTAATTATTATCGTTTCTACGAACCAACAATGATTCTAAACACGAAAGAAGGAATCTTATGGGCAACGACTTCAACAACGACAACATTGTCGTCGTCGTCGTAGCCACAAAAGGTCGATAACGTCGACGATCACCTCCTCCGTGTCTAACGTTTGACCCCCAAGCACGAGCACGCACCACCACCAACTCGTATCGACTTCCCCCTTACCTGTAACCCCCCCTTGCACTACACGCACCACGTCTTGTTTTTCCTCTTGCAGAAGTGAAATCGATGTAGCTCCGGCAAATTGCACTGGGGTTGGGCGTATGAACTAGCTAATACCTACTTCGTATCTCTACTAGCTTTTACTTCTAGTATTTTAAACTTCCTAAGTAAAAGAAAAGTACATTTATATATATGTGTGTGTGTGTGTGTATGCGTGTGGAATAATAAACACAACAATGTTCCTTTAATTTGGTTCGTTTAAAAGGAAAAAAAAACTCGTGTAAATTTGTATATACAGATAAAATGAATGAAAGAAGGAAAAAAAAAAGTAATCAAATTGACAGATAGAAATAAAAAGTATCATAGCTCATTGGCGTTCACAAAAATGTTGTCTGTTCTGTTTGACGAACATAAAATGTAACAAAAAAAAAAAAAAA